AGCGGGCGAAGGCGGGCGGGACGCCGGAGCCACCGCGGGCTGAAAGTCAGGGGCGGCGAAGCAACAGCATCTGAGGCTGTTTCCATAGTCGGTGGAGAGCGAGAGCCCCCCGGAAGGACCGAAAACCGGGGAGCGGGTGCTTGCTGCCGAGCACAAGGCCGGGGAGCACGAGGTGGTGGCTGCGAGATCTCAGAAACGCCGAATTAAACGCTCCAGCGTGAAACAGATGCCTCGCTCCGTCGTGCCTCATTGCATCAGAGGAGGTTTGGTCCCTCACAGTCCTCCTGCTACACCACGGGCACCATCGCTGTGAGCCAGCACCCCTGTTTTAGCCTATTATCACTGAGGGCCAGCGGAAGGACTCCACCTTGTCCTGAGGGATCGAACGGCCCTTGGAGAGAGAAACGGATTTATTAACACTTGATGTTAATTATCATCGAATCCAGATTATTTTGTTTGGGTTCTTTTTGTCACTTGGCACAGGGTTCACCTATTTTAACAGGCACCATTGGGGGGTTGGACTAGAGGGCCGTTAAAGGTCCCTTCCAACCCAAACCATTCCATGATTCTATGATTTCTGTGCCTTTATTAAATGTAAGTATAACACCTGACTAACACATGCCACTGAGCTTCACGCAGCAGCTACCAAGAAAGTGTTCCTGGCTCATTTTGACCTTGCAGGATTGTTTTTCCTCTGGGTTGTTTCTCACAGGGGCACTGGGGCAGGCGATGGGCATCGGCCGCTTGGGAAAATCAGTGGCACGAGTAACCAAGGAAAGCGTGCTGGGACAGGCCAGTGTCTGGGCCGGGTGACCGGGGGGACGCTGAGATGTGGCTCCCTCGGTGAGCACTGTGCTTGGGGACAGATAAGCCCCAGCCTGGAGTTTTTGACAACATTTGCCAGCAGCATCCATCTCTGTTCGGCTTTAGAAATAAACCTGGATGCCCAAATCCAGGCACAGGTCCAGGTTTGCCCTGACTGCTGCTGATATCAACCAGTGAACAGCCCGGGATTTACCCCAGGTAAGGGGGTAAATCATGGGAGGATGGTCACGTCCCTTGGACCTGCCCCTCTGCTCCCGAGGCCCGCGGCCACCCCACATGGGTGGGGGAGAGGGGGAAGCACTGCCAAACCAGAGCTCCCATGGGTGCAAGTGCCCAGGCAGGGGCCAGGTGAGGGAGGGTACTCCCATGTTTTAGGGTCTCTGAGGCTCCTGTTCCCATCCCCTCGTGCTGCTTGCAGAAGGGAGGGGCAGGGGAGGGAGAGGGGGATTTTTTCTGGTTTCACCATAGGAAGGGTTTTCAAACCCTATAAATTCACTTTTGACAAGCGAACGGCTAAAGCAGATTAACCTTTTTGCTAATCCTCTATAATGGCTTTGGAATCTCCTTAACCAATAAGAAAATGATAAGAGCTTGTTTCTTTTATTTTTATCTATATCTATATTGTCCTCTCTTGTCTGCATTTTTTTTCTTTCTTGTTTTATTTTCCTTTCCTTTTCTAATATGAAATAGCCCAGCGATCCTATCTCCCGGAGGCTCAGTAAACAGAACATCAATAATCCCTTTCCTTTATTCCTCTCCGGTAACAGGGTGCAGAGAAGTGCCTGCCGATTGGGATTTGATTACCAGCAGCTATCAAAAAGTCTCTTTGTAAGATCTGGATCCTAAATCCTATAATTCTTTGATAAAAGAAGTATTACCAGTCCATTTTCTGAAGTGAAAGGTACAGGAGGAATGAAAGAAAGCAATCAGTGGAGATCCTAATAGGCTAAGTGCATGTGTGGTGGGAAGGCAGGGATGGGCAGGGCAGGCCGGGGAAAGGCATCCTTTGTTCAGGATGGGGAAGGAGAATTAATCCGCTTCGGGCATATGATTATTACAGCCAAGAGCAGAAAGGGTTGGATCCTGCACCTGCCCGCGGCACATCCCGGCTCACCTGCCCCGCCATCGCTCTGGACCGGCATGGTGTGGGGAGCAGAACCCGGCCACACATCCATCTCCTGTGTCAGCATTTGGCTATATATGTATAAAAGCTGGGAGCAGTCTGTGATGATCCCTGGTTAGTGCATCCCCAGTGCCTCTCCGAAGCGCTGACACCTTGGCAGGACAGCAGGGAACATAGTCAAACCAGGCAGCTACAAAGGTGTCTTCCTCTCAACTCTACAGCAAATATGTAGAGATTTGTAGTGCAGGGTTATAATTTACATTACGCCACTGGAATAGCTGAAGGAGAGGAAAATAAAGGCATGGAACAATAAAACGGTGGTTTGGTTTTAAGTGAGATTTTATAGAGATTTGAGGGTCACACGTAGAGCAGCTATGGGGCATCTCTTCCCAGCACTGCGAGACCAGCAGGGTGAGGAAGGGCAGGCAGAAAGCCATGCCAAGGAGAAAAGAACAGGGACTGAGGCGGGGCTCTCCTGGAGACCGGCTCTCATTTTTGTCCAATGCTGGAAGGGTTCTGGGCTGTCCAGTGTGAAGTCACGGTGTGCCACGAGGACATCTGATGTGCAGTGGTTTCACAGCACTCACCTGTGTGTCTCCTTAGTGCACCATAAGTGGCACTGGTATCTTCTCTGCCCTGCAAAGAAACACCAAGCAGGAGAGTGTTCCCCATGTGAGCTCCTGAAGCCTCGCTACCCACCTTGGCTTAAACCGTACTGAGGGCAAGAGAACTTGGGCCTAAACTTTCCTAAGCAACCTCAGCTCAACCCCAGGCTCTATTTTAACTCCATCTACTCATTTCAGTTATAAACCCAAGATGGAAGATGTCCTCTCTCCTCCTGTGGATCGCGTCTGTGAGACCTTGCTGTTTGCCCTTGGGAAGGTCGGTGCCAGGCATCCGCTCCCGTCCCGAGTCACTGCGCTCGGCCGAAGCCGTGTCACCCCAGTTTCCCTTGCTAGACAGAAGTTGGGAATTGAACTGACAAAGCTCTGGGGAAGCCTGGCTGCGCCCGGCAGCAGTCCGGGCTGCTCTGGGCTGACTGGTGCCCGTTATCTGTGGCACCGAGACCATGCTCCTGCCCAAGCTGCTGCGGGACCTCGCTGCCTGCCTGCCTGTACATGGAGGCAGCAGGCAGCAGTCCTCCCCTTCCCTTCCTGACGCTGAGCAGAGGTACAGCTCAGCTATACAGGAGGTGGCTACATGCCACTAAGCTATGCCACAGAGCTGCCGTGAGCTGCCAGTAATCTAATTTATTAAGAGCTTTGAATCCTTACAAAGAGTATGTTGGCTACATGCAAAGCATCTGCATTATCGCTGTGATTAGGGCAGTGAAGGTGGGGGAAAGGGGAAGGAGGGAAAATACAATTTCTCTGCTTTCAGCAGAAAATAAATCAACTTTTGCAGAGAGTTCCAGCACAGCCAAAGGCTGTGCTATCATTAAAAATGATTTTTTCTTAAGCTGAACTCTCTCTTCTCTCATATTGTATGATATGACAGCTCTCTTTTGATGGGAAAGCTTTCATTTGGCCAGAGAAAGGGATAATTTGCTTCTTTTAAGGAGTTAATCCTCTGGTCCATTTCCGGGCTGGGAACAGCTATCCTCCCCCTTCCTTGGATCGGAGGCTGCAGCACAATGGAGATCATAACCACCTCAAATCTACACCCGAGATGGAGAAATCAGATTTCCTTCTGCAGTCATTTTTGTGGGATTAGCTAAATCTTAGATCCACACTAACCCTTCACAAAGCTGCCAAGATTAGTTAGAATTTATTTTATTCACAGGAGGGTTTACGGTTTTCTTTCCAAAGGGATTATATCTCTCTCTATATATATGTTTAGGGTGGCTTCAGTCATAAAGCAGCTAGGTTAGAAGGAGAAAAAGTACATGTGTGCATAAAATAAAAACTCGGCTGCGAGAATGACAGTCACTTGAAATGCCAAGACAAAGCAGCAATTCTGGAGGGCTTTACCAGTCCATTTTAAAAGCTATGTAAACTGTCTTCTTCCTTGCAAGACCCCACTCTGGAGTCAGCACGCAGAGAGCAAACTCTGCTCAGCCTGAGCTGCCCGGTCCTGCGGCCGCTGCTGCCAGCAGAGGATGTCTTCGGAGCCAGCATCAGACGCCGATGCCGGCAGGAGAAGCCTCAAGAAGCCATGTTCATTCAGCATTGAGGACATCCTCTCCAGCCCAGCAGAGAAGAGCCCCCAGGTCCTGGTCCCGCTGTGCCTCCGGAGCATCTTGGACTGTGCACCCAAGGGGCTGTGTGAGCTGGAGACCATCCCGGCCAGCTCCTTGCAGGAGGAGGAGGAGGACGAGGAGGAGGAAGAGCTGGAAGGGGCATCCTGCAACTGCTGCTGCTGTTCTCACACCAGCACCCGTTCCCTGCAGGACTCACCGAGTTGGCTGGGTGAGTGTTTGTGTTTGATTCACAGTGTAGGGCTCGTGGAGGGGCTGGTGCCAGTGCTGTGTGGATGGGAAAACCTGGGCGTTGAGTGGCAATATAGCGTCTGGTCTGCCACCATGGTGGTCTCAAACCCCAGCTCCAGCAAGCTGAGCTCTGTTCTCAGCATGGCTCCCAAGAGCAGGCACTTTTACTTGCAACGCTACCAGGGTTTTAAAAGCAGCAGGTGCTATTTATTACTGGTTTAGTGTGAAACACTTGAGACGATGATGCTTGTAGGTGTGGAAGTTCTTTGTGGAGCGTGGGGCCCCATGGGCATGCTGCCCATACACAGAGCTGTGCCTGTGCTTCCTGACAACACTGGCCCTGGGGAACCTCATTTGTCCTTTAAGGAAAAGAGATTTTTGCTACATGTAGCAAAATTACCACATCTATTAAAAAAAAAAAAAAAGTAGCAGACCCTTAAAAATGCAGCTCAAGAGCATCCTGAAATTCAGAAATCCCCCATGTCGGGAATGAAACAGAGCTCCTCGCCAGGCTGCGAGTTTCCAGCTGCTTTCTGGAGCTGGCCACAGTGCTTACAATTACTTACCAATTGGTAAGTAAACAAGGAAAACCCAGCCAGCGCTCCCCACCGGCACGCTTCTCCCAAACCGCTGCCCTAAGTCCTTCTCTCTCTTGCACGGTGATCATGTAGCTTGTCACCCACACCAGCTGGCCAGCTGCCTCCTTCCAAACAACATGTGTGGATGCAACTTGTGCCTGAACTGCCTTGAGCCCCTAACACTGGCACTGTACCTCTCCCCTTGCAGATGCCCGGTTCCCCTGGCCCATGCGGCTCTTCCACTCGGCAGTCAGGGTCTGTAAGAGTCCCCAAGGGAACCCGAGCGAGCTGCAGACTTTCCACCAGATCCAGCGCCGGACACGCCGACATCGCACTATATTCACCGAGGATCAGCTGCAGGCCCTGGAGACACTTTTCCATCAGAACCAGTACCCGGACGTAATCACCCGTGAGCACCTGGCAAACCGCATTCAGCTGAAGGAGGAGAGGGTAGAGGTGAGATCCTGCCACTTGGTGAGGTGCTCTTTGCTGCAACCCTCCGAGAACACAGACAGGGGCCTTGCACTGTCTTTTTTGGGAACTGCAGACCCAGACCCATACCATTCTTGGGTATTTGACAAAACACAGTTTAGGTGTGGCAAGCAATGGAAGAATATAGAACAGTTCTGCTGGGCTGATTTGTTCTGGCATCTGGTCCCATAATCTCACTCACTCCGTCTCTCCTAGATTCACCTACACAAGCACACAGACATGCCCAGTTCTGGTCATCCATGGCACCCGAGTGTATATTCCTTATTTTTGTGATCTGCGTGACTTCTGAATTTGTCATTGGGGGATCCCAGCTCCCTTGTGCCCCTTACATTTATCTGAGCAGGACTGCAGGGGAGGCACTGATTAAATTTTGTATCAACCTTTTATATCTGGAAATATATTGCAGTATCCTAAATCTTACACTGTACAGCCCAGCCTGCCCCCCTCCAAGTAACATATGAAATGCAAAAGTTCTTCTTTTCTTGTTTTGCACTTTCTAGGTTTGGTTTAAAAATCGGCGGGCCAAGTGGCGGCATCAGAAGAGGGCATCTGCTTCAGCCCTGATCCTTCAAGGCACCAAGAAGCCCTCTGAGGAGAGCCATTAGTGGTCGCAGGCTGTGTCTCAGCAGATGAATGCCAAGACCATTCATTTCCCATAGCTGACAGATTCTCTCTAGGGGGGGAACCTGAGGGGGACTAACGAAGGAAAAGGGAACCTCTGTGATTCCCAGAGGAGGAGGGCAGGTAAAAGCAGACATGGCACTTTCACGTTCCAGTTTCTCTTCCAAACCTAGTTCACACCGCAGATAACTCACCGGGCATGACCCTCAGATGCTTAAGCAGAAACCACTGCCAAAACCCTGTGCGGGGGACAGAGCTGTACCAGTGTTAAATGTGTGTGCTTCAGGAGAAGGGGAGACTCCCCTTCTAGTCTTTGCTCTGTGCAGGTAGTATTTGTGCTTGTTTTACTACTGTAGATTTGCAAAACATCCTGCAAATGAATGTTTCCTATTTTCAGCACCTCGATGGCATCTAGAGTTGCTTTTGGGGTTCAGCTTGCTGAACAGGTATTTTTTCCTTAAAGAAACACGGATTTCTCCCTACGGCCAGTGGGAGAGGTAATCCATCTGTTGTGGTGAGAAGGCTTGGCACCGTGAGCGTTCAGCTCACCTCTCCGGCCAGCCCGTGCCAGTCCCCCATCAGTGCAAGCAGTGCCTGTGTGCCTGGCACGGCCAGAGAGAAACCACGTCCTGTAAAGCAGTGAGAGAAATAAAACTGTCCCGTCACCTCCGCACGTGCTGTGGAGAGCTGGCAGTGGGGG